TGCGGGGGCCGGAGGATGAGGAACGAGGAATTTCGACGCCCCGAGTCTCCCAGGAGAAGCCCCCCCTCCCCATCTCCTCCCTGGAAGAGGGGGTGGCGGTCGCCGGCCTGCCCCCTCGGAGCCCGGCCTCTGGCCCGCGGGGTCCCCGGGGCGCGCCCCCCGCCCCCCGGGCCTCCCCCCTGCGCGGGCCGGGCCGACGGGGTCGGGGCCGCCGTGAGCCGCCCGGGGCGCCAGGGTTAAGGGGGCCGCACCCCGAGGGGCGAGGGGGCGGCGGGAAGCCGGCTCCCGAGCTGGGAGCGAGTGCAGGGATCGTAAATAGCTGAGGGAAAACGTGTTAATTGGAACTTTATGCAGATGAGCCGGGACCGGGGGCTGGGGGGTGGAGGGAGGGAGAAGGTCACGCGGGGGCGGGACCCAGCCCAGTTCCGAGGGGAGGGGGAGCAGGGCTCTGGCCCGGGGGATGCGGGGGGTGCGGGGGGGAGCACCGGTGAGTGTCCTGACGTCCCGGCGCGGGCCTCCCGGGAGCCCGCAGGTGCCCGCAGGTCCCCGCAGGCGAGGCCTCCTCCCGAGCCCACCCCCACCCCCACCCCGAAGCGAGCCCCCCTCCTGCGGCCACAAGTCCAGGGTCTCGAGGCCCCGCGAGGGTGGGGGACACCTTGCGAGTGTCTGTCTCCGGGAGGCTGCTCACCTCGGGACCCACTTCTGCTGCGTCCCCACCCCTCGGCCTCCGCGTCCTCCCCCTGCCTCCTCCGTCCTCTTGCCCATCCCCGGCATCACCCTCTCCGCGCTGGAGCGTCGTCTGCTGCTTCCGCCCAGTGTGCCTGGGGCGGGGTTGGGGCCACTCGAACTTTTCTCCCTTTACTTTCTCCCGGCTGCCCCCTTCCCCGACCACCCCACCTTTGGGATGTTTCTTGGCCCACAGAGTGTTTGGTAGGCCCCCTGGGCTGGTCAAAACGCAGTTTCAGGGTCCCTTAGTGATCTGGTTCAGCAGGGCCTGGGGGCTCAGGAATCTGGATGTTTCCACCTAAATCAGATGGAAAAGACCCTCATTCTGAAAAACACTGGCAGAGAATCGGTGGGTGGGAAGGATGGGGCCAGCTTCCTTCCACAGCGCCCACCCCTCCTCCAACCTTGCAGACCTCACCTCTGCTCAGAAGGGCCTTGGAGACCTCTGGCGTGAAAAGGTGCCAGGAAGGAGGAAAAGGAGGAAGGAGAAAGGGACAGAAGGAAGGAACCTAGCTCTTCCCTCCCCAGCAGGATCTCCAGCCTGCTTACCTCCCCTTCCCCTCAGCTGGGCCATCTTTTTCTCTTACTCCACCAGCCCGGCCTCAGCTTCTCGATTCCTTTCCCCCTCTTGAGCTGAAGTTTCTGGACAGGCCAAAGGATCTTGGGGGGGGGGGTAGTGGTGGGGAATGGCAGAGCCACCAAAGCCCCCACTTCCAAAAGAAAGGGGCAAGAGGCACCCCTGGGGTTGGAAGAGGAGGAGGGAAGCTGGACTTGAGGGAAGATAATAATAGCAGCAAATATGTAGGTCACCTTTCCACGGAGTTATTGTACTTACTCCCCACAGCAACTCGACTTAAGCAGGTACTCTTGTCCCCAGGTCACAAATGAAGAAAACACAACAGACGTTCAGAGAGGTTAAGTAACTTGCTGAAGGTCACACAGTACGTGGGAGAATAACCAGGTCATTCACCTTCCCACTTCCCCAAAATCATTTCTCCAGAGGTCACTGGTAGCTGTCCCAGGCCTGTCCTCCCTGCCCCACCCCCAGAGGTAATGAGGATGGGGAAGGGCATGGTGTACAGAAAAGAAAGGAGATGCTCAGGTTTCGGAACATCTGACAGGTCTGGCTGGAAGCATTAAAAATTCATGTAGAAACCTGACCTCAGCCGGACCTTGGGTCTGCCACCTGGACTGTCCCTGGCCTTGTGGCCTCTCGGAGCCTGGTGGGGGACTTTCCCTTCCTCAGGGTCACGCTGAAGCCCCATGTCTTTGTATCTGGGAGGAGAGGGGTTCTCTTAGGGATTAGGGGCCTGAGGTCAGGTGCCAGCGGTTCAGAAAGCAGGGCTGAGAGCCCTCCCTGCTACTCGGAGTGTAAGAACCTTAGAGGCTTAAGGGCTTACAAGCCCCGTCATCTGGCGTCCTTCTCCTGTTCCTCTGCCCGGGCGCGTGGATGGATGCTCACGCTCAGTTCACGTTGGCGGAAGCCCGGCCGCGATTCCCGAGGTGGCCAGTGGGGGGCCTCAGCTGAGCCTCTACTGCAGCTTCCAGGGACAGTCAAAGAACCCCCACTGATGAGGTCAGAGAGGGGCAGCCTGGCCTTGGGGCAGGGCTCTAGTGAGCCCTTCTCTGGGGAGAAGGGGGAGAGGCTTCCTAGCTCGGGGGCCATGGAGGAACTGTAGGGAGAGTTCAAAGCAGGGTGGTGGGTTGCAAGTACCTGCTAACCGGGGCCAGCGTGATACAACCATTCTAGCTGGAGTGAAGATTTGGGGCGAGGCCACGAGAGAAAAGGCTAGATAGATCTTTGATGCTCTGTTGGGCATTTCATTTTTAACCTGTAGGCAGTTAAGGAGGCATTGCAGGTTTCTGAGTTGACAGGAAAACACGATGCACATTTGGGTGGGATGGATCTGGCTACCACGGGCAGGCAGGGTGGGAGGGAGAGAGACTGAAGGTAGGAAAACCAGAGGAAGGTACTGCTCCGTGTTCTTCTCTATTCTAGGCAGGAGGTAATGAGGAGATGGAGTGGGGGGAGCGGGGAGGAGGGAGGGGGCATGGAATGGGAGGGATGATGGGTCAGGGCCCCAGGAGGGGACTGGGGGAGTGGGCAGACACAGGAGATTAGAGGGCTGGGGGCGCGGGCAGGTAGTGCAGAATGTGGATACCCTCGCAGAATGCGCCAGGTCAATGAGCTTTGTTCCCTTCAGGGGTCAGGGGTCTTGGCCAAATCCCTTCCCCTCTCTCGGCCTCAGTTTCTCCCTCAGAGCACTGGTGGTTGGACTGGATGTCCTTGAAAGCCCCTCCTGTCTCAGAGTGTGCAGCTCAGGGCTGTAAATCAGTCTTCTGGAGATGCTGGGTCGGTGGGTGGGGAGTCTGTGCGTGTGAGATCTCTAGAGGTGGTCTCTGTGCGGGGTCCTGCTAAGGCAGCTACGTGTGCATGCATTTGGGGGCATCTGCCTGTTGGTGGGACCCGTGGGTGTCAGCTTGCCTGCACGTGCTCCGGAGCTCCGCGTTGTGTGAGTGTGTGAGAGAGAGCGCGTGAGCGTGGGTGTGCACGTGATGGGCGTCCGTGGGTCTGTCTGGGCTGATGGTGGTGGAGGTGGGGGTGGTGGAAAGAGGCATTGCTGTGGGCTTCTTCCTGAGGCTCGCACACTCCTTTTGCTTTCACTGTTCTGAAATAGCATCTGGACCGAAGGCCCATGAATATTTCACAACGATAATTCTGTGACCTGGACAGCCTGCTTCTGATTTCCCAGCATCCTCCCTCCCCCTGCCCAGTCTGCAGCGGCTCCTCCTCCATCAGAGCCCTAGTCCCACTGGCTAGTCTCCCCAAAGCCAGCCTGCCCCAGGCCTCCGGGAGACCCCAGACCCAGAGGCTCCCCGGCTTCCTCACTAGCTAGCTGCCTTCTCTGCTCCCTCATTCTTACCCAGATCCACCCGCTTCCAGTGCCTCCAAGGCCTTTAGCATCCACACCTTCCCATGTCTGCCTCCTCTTCTTGCCATCCTTCTGACTTGCCCAGCCAGGGTCACGGGATCTCGGCATCCCCACTCTCTGAGCCCTGGCATCCAGGTCCCCTCTCTTTCCATCTGCACCCCCAGTTTACGTTCTTTTTTTTTAAATTTTTATTTATTTATGATACACACACACACACACACACACACACACAGAGGGGGAGAGGCAGAGACACAGGCAGAGGGAGAAGCAGGCTCCATGCACTGGGAGCCCGACGTGGGATTCGATCCTGGGTCTCCAGGATCGCGCCCTGGGCCAAAGGCAGGCGCCAAACTGCTGCGCCACCCAGGGATCCCCCCAGTTTATATTCTTAATCCTAAATGTAAACCATCAAGCTTCTCCCCTCCATTGCTCTGATGAGACTCACCCCCAATCTCTATCCCAAGTCCTTCTTAGTCGGGCTTTTCCTTCCTCAGGCCTAGCTGTAACCAGATTCTCCCTTTCATGCACTGGAGAGATGAAGCTTCAGATGCTCCAAGCCAGCAGGGCACCCCAACTTGAGATTCTTATCCCTCTGGTGCCCCTAGGCCTGTGGTCTCTCTTCTAACCTGCTTGCAGAACTGCTTCTCTGCCCTGGCCCATCCTACCTCACAGGAGTCAAGGGAAAGAGACCATTGATCTATATAGGGTCGTGTACAGCTGCACACTGCACAAAGGCACTCAGCCAAGGGGGCAACTATGAGCTGAAATTCAGCCTTAGGCTCTGCTTGCTGAGGTGTTTGCTGTGGCGTGGGGCTGGGTTCTCCTGAGGATGAGGTGCCTTTTTCAGATTTGCCCAAAGTCATGTTTGGGCTGGCTGTGACCCTGGATGTCTGTTATTTCTCCCTGCAGGGTAAGGTGGGAAATGCTCTTCCTTCCTGAAGGAACAGGGCCTGGGAGGGAGCTGTTGACCAGGCTGCAGGCCTTCCCCACAAGCTCAGCTCCTCATGCGCCAGACAAGTCAGGGTCATAGGTAGCGGCTTCTCCCAGGCCACTGGGAGGTAAGGTGATGTCAGCACCTGCTCTTGGCTGTCAGATTTCACCGGCCTGCTGGGGACTCCAGGGTCACCCCCTCTTCCTCAGTCTTCAGCTCCTCCTCTGCAGGCAGCAGCATACCAGCTCAACCAGGCAAGAAGCACTTGGAAGGCATGTGATGGATCCCCTTTTTCTAACCCTCCTGGCCCTGAATTCCTGATGCTTCTAAGCCCTCTTCCTACTTTTGAGGTCCTGAGTCAACAAATCTTACAGGAAAAGATAAAATAATAGAATTTTTTAATAAATTTTTTTTTTCCAAACAACTTCTGTTGATCTTCACCACACAGGGGCCACGGTGGAGAGGAAAGTCCTCTCCAGGCGCCCTAAAAAGTGTCCCGGGTAGACTTAGGAGAAAAGTATTCCTCCAGTGTTGGGAGGCTGAGGGGGGCTAGGATAAGCAGGGGCCTAGGGTTAGCCTGGCCCCAACTGAGGCATCCCTCCAAAGGGCTCCTGGGGTCGGGGTGGGGGGGGGGGCGCTCCCTTCCAGGGAGCTTCCAAAGGCTCTGCTGGTGGAAGATGCTCTGCAGGCAAAAGCCCCTCTCGAGTCCACGGGGAGTAGGGGTCAGCGGCTGCCTGGGGTGCCCCACCCCAGCGTGGGGGTGGGAGAGTTTTAATGGCCGGAGTTGGGGACACTAGGGCTGGGCCACCAGACACGACCCGCTCCCCCCACCCCCCGGCGAGAGCCCGCAGCCCAGGGGCGGGGAGAGGCGCTGGTCCGTCCCGGGGGAGGGGAGAGGAAGGCTGCAGAGGCGCAGGGGGCCGGGCGGGGCGGCCGGGGGCGGCGGGGGCGTCGCAGCACCGCAGTCAGAGGTGGTGGGGCGCCAGGAGCAGGAGGCAGAGCAGAGGGCTGGGCAGCCCGGCCGAGAGCGCGGGGCCGCGGGAGTCCGGGGGCGCCTGGCAGGCCGCGCCCGGGCACGTCTGCTCGCCGCGCTGGTCCTCGCCGCCGTAGCCCCCCCAGTAGTCGTCCTCCGTGGGCGCGTCCCCCCCGGCCTGGCGGCCCCGCGGGTCCTCGGCGGGCAGGTCTCGGTAGAGGGTGGAGGGGTCGGCGGGCGGCGCCCCGGCCTCGGCCACGCCGTACAGGTGGTTGGACGAGCTGTTGCCGCGGGCGCGGCTCCCGGGCCGGGTGGGCGCGGCGGGCGGGCAGGCCTGGAAGTCGGAGTCGCGGAGGGCGCGCAGGTCGCGGCCCTGGCGCTCCGGGGGGGTGGCGCACGTCACGTCGGAGCTGGACACGCGCGCGCGCTGGAACCAGGCCCAGAGCGGCCGCGCGCGGCAGTCGCACGCCCAGGGGTTGGCGTTGAGCCGCAGGAACTCGAGCGCGGGCAGGTCGGCCAGCGCCTCGCCGGGCAGCGAGGCCAGGCTGTTGTTGAACAGGTAGAGGATGGTGAGGCGGCTGAGGCCGCGGAAGGCCGCGCGGTGCACGCCCTGCAGCCGGTTCCCGTGCAGCAGCAGCCGGTCCAGGCTGCCCAGGCCGCGGAACACGTGCTCCGTGAGCAGCCGCAGGCGGTTCCCGTGGAGGAAGAGGTGGCTCAGGTTGGCCAGGTCCGCGAACAGGTCATCCTGGGGGTGGGGGTGGGGGTGGGGGTGGGGTGGGGTGGGGGGGAGAGGGGGGAGGGTTAGAGAGAGCCGTCCTTAGAGGCGGGTGGGGAGGAGCGGAGGCCTGTGGTGGAACGGAAGGGTTTCAGAGAGTCCCGGGTTCGAATCCTACCTCCCCTAACCTATGGAGCTGTTAAATGTGCGCAAAGCAGTATAGTTGAGGTCACTCGTTCTCGAACGTTAGTGCTCTGCACGCCCTGCAGAGCCCCAGTTGCTGGCCCAGCAGGTCTGGGGTGTGGCGGCAGGAGGGGTGCGCTCCCCGGTGATGCTGATGCTGCTGATGCTGCTGCGGGTCAGGGGACCACACTTGGAGAGTGAGACCCCACCCCCACCCCCACCCCCACCCCCACCGTTCGCTTCAGCATGTAGACTGCGTGGTGGCCGGACTTCCTGACTTCAAATCCTGGGATCTGTCCAGCACTGGCTCCGCCACTGGGGGCAAGCCTCAGTATCTGTGACTCAGTTTCTTCGCCTGTAAGATGCCGAGATTAAATGAAGCCGTATATGTTAAGTTACTCAGAACAAGATTGCCATGAGGTAGGCATTCAGTGGGTTGGCCACCGTGGTTAACTTGGCCAAGCTAGTAATCTCTCTAAGCCCGTTTCCTCATCTATAAAATGGGGATGAGTGTACGTCCTCCTGCGTTTGTGTTGAGGATTAGGAAGACAATCCACACAAAGCAGATGGGTGAAGTGCTGGGCACAGTGCCTGGCACAATGGGATTCGGTCCAGTGAAGCCCACAGGCTCAGGAGGGAGAGCTCAGGGCTTTCGATCCGGCTTGCCCTCTTCCCAGCTGCGTTGTGTTGGGCAGGCTACTCAGCCTCATCCAGTTTCTTCAGGACCCATAGCTCAGAGGATATCCCCCTTCAGCAGGCTGAGGGAGGATTAGGTGAGATCATGCTGGAAGGATACTGCACTCGGTGGGCACATAGACCACCACCAATAAACAGTGGTTATTACGACAGTAGGGCCTCAGTTACAATTAGGTCCATCCCTTCTGCTCTAACAGAGGAGTTTCCTGAGGCTCAAAAGTTCTACTATTCTACTTTGTTAGGATATTAAAAGAACTCAGTGTCTGCTCCACCTGCCCAGAGGTGGCAGGGGAGGGGAAGGAAGCCTGCTGTCTGATGCCCTGATCACTGGCCCCCATCGAGGGGTTGTTCCACCTGCCTTCTTGGGGCTGGGGAGTCCCAGAATCAGGTGCTGTTAGTGCTGCAAGGATTTAGAACTCTGATTCAGAGTTAATGGGGGTGCGGGTATAGGTCTAGGTATGCTTCCTGGTGGGGGCTGGATTGTGAATTCTAACCAGCTCTCCAGCCTGGTGATGGCCAGCCAGACTTCGGAGTTAGTGCTTCCAGGTCCAGCCGCCCAGCCGCTTTTTCTAGAGGAGAGCACTGAGACCCAGAGAGGGGCCCAGAACCCCAGTACTGACCTTCCCCCCCCCACCAACTTGGTGCAGGACATCACTGTGGTCAGCAGGCCCAGAAGCTCTGGCTCTCAGGGCTAAGAGCATCCGCTCTGCTGAAGCCAGCTCCCCCCTGGATCCTGTTTCCGGCTGCGGTTCCCACCATTTCCTGCCCATCCCAGCCAGGAGCCTGTCCTGGCTCTCAGGTTGGGGGGAGGGCACTGACTCCCAGCCCACACCCACAGCCCCCACCTTCCTGTGCTCCGGCGTTCTCTCGCCCCCTCCCATCTGCCTTCCGCCCTCTCCGTTCCAGGAACTGAGCCTGCCAAGAACCCTCCTGTTGGCCACATTGAGATCCGTCCCCTCAACCTTCTTGGGTGTCTGTGACACCAGCGTTCTCTGCGCCCCCTGCTGCCACCACCCCCTGCCTTGCTCAGGTCTCCAGTGGGCTCTCTGCACGCCTGTGGCCTCAGCCCACCCCAGCCTGGCCTGGTGGCCTTGTCCTTCTTTTCCTCACCCCCAGGGAGTGGGCTCCGAAACCCTTCCACTCAGACACCTAGTTTGGGTTTCTTTTTTACGATGCCAGCCATAGTGGGACACACCCAGAGATTCCTGATCAGGATCAACAGGGGATGGGGGTAGAAGTGGAGGTCATCACACTCAGGGGGGCTTCCAGAGGTCAGGTAGGGACAACCCAAGGTTCAGACACCCCAGCAATTCAGGTGCTTTTGACCTACAGCCCCAATGCAGGGAGCTACAGAATCCCTTGATCCCAACTTCCTCCTCTTCTTCCTTTTCCCGCTTGCACATGTCCTGGCCTTCCTCTCACTGAGCCTCCATCTAGGGGTCCATACCTCTCTCCTCATCCAAGCCGTTGCCAAATCCCCCAACCACTTCCTGAGCTGCAGCTCTCAAATCCAGACCTTCCTCTCTCCCTGTTAAAACCCTTCTCTGTGCATTAATAAGCTTTTGACTTTCACAGCCCCCTCCCTCTGGGCTGACAGCGGCTGCTAAAGCCATCGACTTCCATTTCCAAAACCACATTTCCCTCACCTCCACCCAGGTCGCTTCATAGCTCTTTGCATCCATTTGGAATCTCACAAGGCAGCATCCCTGCCCCATCCCCCCCCCAGACCCCCACAGCATCCAGCATCCTGCCTTTCACTTTGCCTCCTTCCACCCTCCCAGCTCCAGTCTCTGGCACTGGCTGCTGGGCTGTGTGACCTTGGGCAGCTCCACAAACCTCTCTGAGCCTCAGGTTTCTTCATTTGTGAAACAAGGGCCTTGAGAGTTGATCATTAAGATCCAACCTCATCTGATATTTATGAGTAAGTGAGTCCTGGAGTGTACCTCATTCATTCAACAAAGCCGTATTGAGTGTCTACTCTGTGCCAGGCACCCCCACTCACAGTGCTCACCAATCTGTGCCAGGTGTCACTGTCATCGTCTGCGTCAGAGTTTGCACTGTGTGCCAAGCTCTGTGCTACCCGGATCCCATGTAGTAACTGAATCATCACAACCCCACGAGGCAGACAATATTATTACGTCCCTTCCGGAAAATAGGAGAGGAAGGCCCCCAGAAGGCAAGTGACTTGCCTAGGGTCCAGCAGCTATATGGGTTGGGCCTGAACTCTGGAGTCAGGCAGACCTGGGCCACTTCTAGGCTGTACTCCTTAATGGACTGGTCAGAGGTCACTGGACTTCACAGAGGCTCAGTATCCTCAGCCCTTAAAGGGGGGAAATGATGCTTACTCTGAACCAGACATCGTGTTGAGCACTTTTCAAGTAGCGTCTTCTTTAATCCTCACAACAAACCTCTGAGGTGCAGGTCATTTTTTCTCCGCTTTATAGATGGGTCCTTTGAGACTCAGAGTGGTTAAGTAACTTGCCCAGAGCCACACAGCAAGCCAGAGATGGGCCTGGGATTCAAACCCCGCTCTGCCTGAGTGTCCTATTAAACCATGTAGGCCGTAGTGATTAAGGGAGAGAACTGGTGTCCCTATCATCTGGTTCTAGTCAAGTAGAAAATAAGCTCCAGGAGAGCGGGGGACACTGTTTTTGCTCACTCTTGAATCCTTGGCACCCAGAACACCGCCTGGCATGTAGTAGGTGCACCATACATACCCACTGATGAATGAACGCCCCCTGGTACAGTGCCTGGCCTACAACGGACAGTCCGTGAGAAACCCCACCGCCCCTTGCCTCCACCTGCACCTCCACCTTCCTGAAGAGCTGTGGCCCCCCTCACCCCCTCCGCAGCTCCCCTCTCCGGGCAGGCTCCATCTTAGGTCACACCTGCATTCTGTGCATCTCACCCCAGCCGCACATTTTCTCACCTGCCTGTCGCATTTCCGGGCCTGGTTCTGCCCGGCAGTCCCCTGGGCAGAAGCTGGCTCTTTCTTTCTGCTCTAGGAAGGGGCCAGGTGTGAGGATGCTTCCTTCCCATGATGCCCTGCACCATGCCATTCATACCACAGGGTGCAGGACAAGCATGTCCCGTTTCAGAAGACCCCCCCCCACCACCACCCTGTTCACTCAAGGACCCCCTTGCCCAGAACTCTCCTGAGCCCACGCACTGGCTGCCGTTGTCGCCTGAGAGTGGAAGAGGGTCGGGTCATCATGACGTGATTTATTCTGCACTGAACTATGTGCTTTATATACACAAACTCATTGGCTTTTTATAGCCATTCTTTGTGGAAGGTCTTACTTTAATTTTTCCCATTTTAAAGATAAGGAAACCAGGGTTCAGAATGGGGAGGCAGCTTGCCTAAAGTTAAATAAGTCAGAAAGCAGCAGAGCAGGGATTCAAACTCAGTCACTCTGGCCCCAGATTCACCCTTCTGAACAACCAATATGTACTGACGAGGGGGTCAGGGAGTCAGGAGTAGTTGTCGAACTACTAGTAGTAACATGATAATGACCCTGCCTGTACTGAGGGTGGCTCTAGACTAAATTTTAAACCTTATAGAGCTTCTTAGATAAACTTCAAGTACTACCATGACTGCCATTTTATAGACAAGGAAATGAAGGTGGAGAGATTGAGTCATTTGTCCGAAGCCACACCGCAGCTAAGATTGGAACCTCCAAAGAGTGAGTTTCAGAGACGAGCACTCTGCTGTCCTTCCTGCCCCCCCCCCCGGCCCCTGGACAGAGCCTGGGGGAGAGGTCTGGAGGACAGAAGTTCCTGAAATGTCATCAGACCTTGCAGTCTCCAGCACTACTCGCCCTTCCTGGTCGTGTGGCACCAGGAACTTCTGTTCTGTGTCCCTACTGCCCCTAACTGTCCCCCAGAACCAGGCTGTTGCGAAGTTGAGACACACAAGCCCCCAGTGACGTGGCCAGTGGTTTAAAAGTCTTGATGTGTAGAGGCCTTCTACCTACAAAGCCTTTGGGGCCCTGGGCCTCCGCTTCCCCATCTGTAAGGAGACAACCCCCGACAGAGCCGTAGAAGTGAGATGAGGTGGCTGGATGTACTTTGCAAATCCTGAGGTGCGAGGCAAATTTAGGAAGCAAAGGAAAGGGAGGGAGTATTCTGGGACCCGCTTGTGGCCTCAGTATCATCCATGAAGTTGACCCAGATCTCCAGGATCGAGTCCAAGATGGGCCATTTCACCAAGGCCAGTGTTTAACGAGGCTTGGTTCTCTTTTTAAAATAGTATTTTAACAAGCATTTATATAGTGCTTACCGTATGCCAAGCACTATTCTCAGTGCTTTACAAATTATTCATGCACTGAACGCATATAACATCCCTAGGAGATGGGGGGCTGTTGCTGCCCCCGTTTTCCAGATGGGAAGACTGTGGCTTGGAAAGGTTAACATTTGCCACACGCCAGTAAAGATTACCAGAGTCCAGGCCTGCAAAGTCCTTAGCACGGTGCCAGACACACAATGCGCCCACTAAGTGGTGGTGGGCGCTACTCTGACGGCCATTTAGGCAGCAGTAATGGCCAGGACAGAATTTTCTGGCACACTGTGTATTTTCCTTCTTGTCCCTTTCCCTGACTAGAATGCCCTGTCTGAAGGCAGGGAGCTTTGTCTCTTCCATTCACTGCTGTCTCCTCAGCATGTAGCACATAGTGGGGTGCTCCATACACGTTTGTCAGGTCGTTACTGCTAGTGTCAACATCAACCCGACCTGATGTGCGGATGGGCGGGCACATTGGTGAGACCAGGGAGGCACTGACCCGACCAGGAGTGAGGAGGAGCATGTGCCTTCCAGGCTTATGTGGGGGGGACACAGGGGAGGGGAGAATTTGGAGGTCCCTACCCCCTTCCAGCTACAGGCTGTGTAGCCCAGGGAGGAATTTCTTCCAGAGTGGTTTGGAGGGTGTGTGATTGCTTCCTGGGGAAATAGAATGGGAGGATCTGGCTGTCAAACAGTCAGCATAACAACAACAATAAATATTTAGATCAATGATAATAACAATAAATAGCAATTACTGTTATTCCTTCCGTTTCCAGGGCATCCATTTTCCAGCTACTTAACCACTCTTTCCCTTTCCCTTTCCTTCTTCCCTTGCACGGGGAGGACAGGTTTGGGGGACAGGAATCTGGAAAGGGCGGGACGTCGTCCCCTTGTCCCAGTCCCTGGTGAGCTGGAGAGAGGCGGAACCTTCATGGGGCATAATTGCAGGGGCTGTGCCCTCTTGCTCCTCCTCCCCGGGACGGAGGGTGTGGGGGTGGGTGAGAAAAGCAGCCACCAAGGCCTTCAGGCTGGGTGCCTGGGGAAAGGGAGAGTCCCCCGAAGGCAAACAAAAGGGGGAAAGGAGGGATCACAGAAAGAGACACGTACATACACCCAGACAGACATGGGGGCGTGCGCGGAGTGGGCGTGCGAAGGGAGGCAGACAGAGAGGCAGAAGAAGACAGATGGGGGAGGCAAGTTTGTGAGAGAGGCGGAGAGGGACAGAAAGGGATAGACAGACAGACGGGCAGAGGGAGACAGACCAGACGGGGGGGGGGGGGGGTTGGAGAGTTAGGGAGAGAGGCCGCAAGGGACCCCAACAGGAGGAGCCAGGAAGATAGAAGACAGAGAACAGAGAAGCCCCTGGCGGGAGTGAGAGGGACAGGAAGTTAGGACAGGGGCTGGGAACTAGGGATGCTTGGCAGGAGCGCGGGGGACCAGGACGGTGCGGACCAGGACGGTGCGCAGGTGCGCCGGGGGCGGGGCAGGCTCACCTGGAGGTGGAGCAGGCTGTTCTCCTGGAGGTAGAGGTACTGCAGGCTGACCAGGCCGCGGAAGATGTTGCCGGGCAGGCTGCTGAGCTGGCAGCGGTACAGATGCAGAGACTGCAGCCGCTCCAGGCCCTGGAAGGTGTCAGGCTCCAGGGAGCGCAGGTGCCGGTTGTCGCCGAGGTCCAGCTCCTCCAGGGCCTGCAGGTGGCGGAAGGTGCCCGGGTAGATGGTGGAGAGGTTGTTGGAGAAGAGCCACAGGGTGAGCAGGTTGGGTCCGAAGGTGCCGGGCCGCAGCGTGCGGATGAGGTTGTTCTGCAGGAAGAGTCGCTGCGTGCTGGGCGGCAGGGCCAGCGGCACGGAGGAGAAGTTGTTGGCCTGGCAGCTCACGGTGGGCGGGGACGAGTAGCAGGTGCAGAGCATGGGGCAGCTGGGGGCCGCGGGGGGCGGGGCCAGGAGCATCAGCAGGAGGCAGGCCGAGGCTGGACCTGTGGGAGAGGGAGGCGGGGAGGTTCCGGGCGGGGCCAAGGGCCAGGCCTGCCAGCCTGGGGGCGCCTACCACCCCCCCCCCAAGGGCAGCGCGCCTCTGGATTGATGGGTAGGGGTTCTGAGTGTAACCTCAGTGTCGCAAGAAGCCCTGGCCTCCTCGGCTTTCTGAGGCTCCTGGTGTACGAAAAAAATAAAGGAATGCTAAGAGGACACTGTAGAAAGCAAGGTTGACAGTTGTTGGATGAGTGGTGGCCTTTTGTCATTGGTTTTCACTGCGGTAGGTTTGCCCATGGTCCAGGGCTTCTCCAGCGGGGATGGTAGGCCTGATGGATCTTTGTTGTATGGGGTTGTCCTATGTGACATCTTATTTAGGATGTTCAGCGGCTCCCTTGTCCTCTGCCCACTAGGTGCCAGTAACACCTGCCCCCTGGTTATGATAACCAAAATGTCTCCAGACTTTGCCAGATGTCCCTTGCTGGGGGGGGGGGGCGAATCGCCCCCATTGGAGAAGGGCTGGAACTAAATTGAGAATCTTCGTGAATCTAAGGTCTGTGCGAAATGGCCCTTGGGCTGCTCCGGGGTCTGGTCTTGCCGAGCCCACCGGGGCATGCAGCTCGCCTCCCTCACCTTCCAGCAGCTTTCACCTTGGAAGAACCAGGGCCTGTCCAAGCCGGAAGGGCCCTGAGGGCCCAGGGGTCAGGGCGTTTCTGAATGGGGCCAGCAGCCACCTGCAACAGAATCAGCCAGGTGGGCCCAGAAAGCAGGCAAAATCAGACTTTCAGGGGGATTGCCTGGGAATCTGCATTTTATACCGCAGGCTCTTCTCATTCAAAGTCACTTGATATATATATATATATATGTATTTTTTTTCAAAGTAACTCTTGAATGTCGGAAATAGTTCAGCCTTCTTAGGACACAGTTGGAGAAGCAGGCCCAGGGAGGCCCAGAGGCCTGGGGCTAAAGAGTAGTGTCCAGGCCCCTGCATCCTGTGCGGGGGCCGGGGGCGTAGGACCCCCTCGCCCATCCCCGTCCCCTGGCCTTCTTGCCCTCACCACAGCTGTGAGCTTCTGGGCTGGATCTAGCTTGCCTTCTGACCTTTCTCATGACTGCCAGATGACTCCTCGGATTTTCTTCTGGCCCGTTTGCCTGGGGAGAAGGGCAGCCTACACCCCACGCGCTGGGCCGTGATTTCTGGGCACACATTGACTGAGAAGCTTCTGCTTCATGGAATGTGTTGGGTCCATGCCGGTGGAGGGAAGGATGACAGGGCCGGGGGCCGAGGACCTGAGATCCTGGGGCTCTGTGGGTTTCAGACACTCCAGGGGAGGGACTGAGGGTCTGTGATTTTCAGTGGTGCCTTGTGCCCCAGACATCGCTGCGCGTGAATGTGTGTGTGTGCATATGCACACGTGTGTGATCTTAGGTACGGGTGTGAGCTGGGTGCTCACTGCGTATGGTGCTGCTGAACCCGGTGTGTGCACAAGGCCATGACAGGGCCGGGTGTGGACGGATATCACGGACGCTCTGCCGTTGGCCCCCCACCCCCACCCCGGGAGAACACACAGGTGCAGGGATGGGGGACCCCACGCCTGGTGTGTGTGGTGTTCCCACTCCTCGACTTCGGGCGCCACCCCAGCTCCAAGAGGCCCCTCCTGGTGCCGAGCCGCGCGAGCGTGTGCCGGCTGTCCTCCGCGTGTGTGAGTGCGCCCCGTGCGTGTGTAGGCTGGGTGTGATGTAATACTCAGTGACACAGCGGCTGCTGTTCCGTTCCTTCACACCACCTCCGCGTTTCTCGGCCCTTCTCACCCCTCCCCCGGGCGGCGTTTCACGATTACTTTCTCCTCCCAAGTTTTTCAGAACCACGTGGGGTGGAGGGGCACGTCTCTCACCCCTCAACTGAACCAGGCAGAGGTGGGGGGCAGGAGCGCGGCGGGGAACCCTGGGGGTGGGTTTCGTGAGGCCTGAGGTTTGGGGCTTAGAACGGGAGGTTTCAGAGCTGGAAAGGTCCTCCAGGTTCAGCTGGTTCAAGTTCTTGCCCTATGCGGGGGACATTGGGGCTCAGAGAGGGCAAGAAACTTGCCCAAGGTCACACAGCAGAGTGATCAACTGGGCAGGCACCAGAAAGGATTCTCGTCATGACTGGCCAGGACACTTCTCCTAGCAGTCACCCTCTAAGCTTGCTTCCCCGAGGACTTGACACCAGAGGAAGTCAAATCCTTTTCTGATCCTTAATCCCACCCCTTATCCACAAAGCTCAGGAGAGTGTGAGCTCTGGAGGCCACCAGCACTCCGGAGGATGACGGAGCTCTTCCCCCCCAGCCTCTGGGGCTGACTGGTATACCCCAGGAGAGACAGGGGGGAGGAAGGATGTGAGTTCCAGAGCCCTCCAGACTCGGCGGGAGGGGGGCCTCTCCCTGGCCCAGGGTCTCCCCTGGCCTGGAGGCCAAGTGTGCAGGGGCTGACCTGTGACTCCTTAGCCCCCTGCTTGGGCTCCTCTCCTCTTTCCCCACACTCCCTCTCACGGGTCCCTCTATGTACCCCCATCTCAGCCCACTAGCCCACTGGCCCACCGCCCCAAGTGGGAGATGGTGTTCCCTGCAGGCTTTTTGAGGAGGGGCCCTGAACAGGGGGCCCCTCCGTGACAGCTGCTGCGTAACAGTGACTCTGTTGCCATTTCTGGCCCTCTCCGCCGTGCAAAGCAGCTGTAACCCAAGGAGCCTCATCCATAATTCAGGCTGCGGCTCTCACTGGAGGCGAGGAGGAGGGGAAGGTGGGGGGCTCTGGGTTTCTCTGCCCCCAGGCCTGGCTGGAGCGCTGCTGGGCAGAGGCAGGGGGGGCGCTGAAGCACCATGCCTCTCTCCCTCCTCCGCGCCCTCTGTCCCTGCCCGGTGTCTGCCCTTTCCTTCCCCACCCCCTGCTTCCCACGGCTCCTCACCATCCCTCCTTCCCTCCAGGCCTTGTCTTCTCTCCCTCCCTGAGGACCACGCGTCCACTCCCAGCCCCCATCTTGTGACTCCCTGGCGAAGACTAGGGCGAGATGCAGAGTGTTGGAGCTGAAAGGGGGGGGGGTACATCAGTGGCCATCAGGAGCAAACCCCTTATGTCACAGGGTCCAAGAGGAAGGGTCAGTTTCTGAGGGAGCGGCTCAGGCCTCCTGACCTGGATCTCTGACAGTCTGCCTTCAATATCTTTCCTGAAGCCTTCATTTCACCCCTCACTACTTAGGCCAAGGAAAGCCCCTGGTGACAACCTCCCCCACCCTCTTGGCTCACCCCATCTTCTCTCTTTCTTCCTCTTCCTTTTTTCTAAAGTCAGCAGGTGATGGCTAGAGCCGCAGGGGAGTGCAGAGCAGGGATGGGGAGCAGCCATCTGTTATTAAGCACCTACTGTGCACCAGACGCTGTATTACTACATGTCTTTACGCAGAGAGTATAACATAGCGTAACCCTGCGAGGCCAATATTATTGCCTCCTGTTTGCCGATGAGGGAAGGGCAACTGGGGGGACAGAGAATTGCCTCAGGTCATGCTGCTAGTGTAAGGTGGAACCCAGACTGGACGAGCCCATGTTGGAAGAGACCCTCTGACCTTTCTTTGGGAGACCTCACATCATACAGGGAAACCACACCTGAGTGTGACAGTCACTACCCTTGAGGTAAAGGGAGACAGAAAGTGCACCCAGGTGCACGGGGCTGGGCCAGCCATGATACTGTGCAAGGTGAGAGCAGAGAAGGGACCCAGGCTCTCTGCAACTTTCCTCTTCTGGGCTCCAGCTTGCGGCTGCTCTAAGGGACGGCCCATTTGGGAGTCAAAAAGGAATGAGCAGTGTCCAAGAGATGTGGCTAGGATTGACCTGCGGAGGGAGCAGAGAGAGGCCAGAACATGATATCGATCCCGGAAGGCCGAGGTGCCCAGAGCCAAAAACTATCCATTCACCGAGGGACCATTGTCAAGGACTCTCGGCGATCACCCTGGAGTACCCCAGGCTCAGAAATAAGGTTCTCACCCCAGGATCCACCTTTTAGTCCAGAGGCTCTGGTGAAAGAAGGAGCTCTAGGAGGAGGCAGATGGAGGGCAGGTGCCAGGATGCTAAACCATGGGGCAGAGTGGCCTCTGGAAAAGGTGCTCCCTGGAAGGGGAGTCGAGGGCTCTGGCTCTGAAGGAAGGACACAGGGTCCCAGATGAGCAGCGACAGCTCCACACTCAAAAGGCTGGGGAAGGGCTAAGGCCCGGCAGGCAGATGCTGAGGGGGCAGGGGCTGAGGAGGTGGGAGCGCGGAGCAGAATGGAGGTGGTGGCGATGCCAGTGACGCAGGGGTCTGGGGAAGCACTGATGCGGGTGACGGAGGTTTAGTGCTGCTGCAAACAGCTTCTCACTCTGCCAGAATGTAACACCCCAAAATAAGCAGCCACCTTGGTGGCGGTGGCAGGATCCGACGCCGGGGCCCAGAGATATAAATGGCAGCACACAGCCAGCTAGGGTACCCACCCTTGGAGGCTGCCACCCCACTCGAATATCCTCACCCTTTCCCCCCTCACAGCCACCCCCAAGGCCCAGAGCTCAGAACCCACAGACCACTCCCTGAGAGAATGGATGTGACAGGCAGGCGCTTTGGGAATGGAGGGCTTCCCACGTGGAAGTGGTTACCAGAAGCCTCTTTGTCTCATCCCTGGGGATCCCCCCCACCCCATCCCTCTCTCCCATCTTGTCCTCTTCCTCCTCTTCCTTCCTTCCCAGATTACTTCCCCATCCCCATCAACCCCCAGGCCCTCTCCCATCTATGGTTCCCTGTCCTCAACCCTAGCGCTCATCCTTGACCCTCTTCTGGGCTCCTGACGCCCCATCTCTACTCACCATCCCAGTCCCTCTCTGGTTTCTAGGCTTCCGATCTTTCCACTCCCCTTTCCTTCCTGGTCCCCAGGGTCCCAGCCCTCCTCTTTGCCATTGCCCACCCTTGCTTCCGGATTCTGGGCTCCTCTCCCTCGCCTTCTCTCCACCCCTCTGTGCATCTGGTCTCCCCTCTCCCTTCTCTTCCTCCATCCTCACCTGGGTCCCATTTCCCTGCTTGCTCTTCCCGTCTAACCTCGGTCCCGCACCCCCCTCCCCTGACCACTTTCTCCATCACCGACCGCTTCTGGCTCTCCCCCTTTCTCCGACCCCTTCCCCGCCCCACCCCCAATCTCTGGTCCACACCCTAGGCTGTCATTCAGTCCGGGGAACTCTCCCCCTTCGAGCGCCCTCCATCCGTCCTACTTGGCAGGGCCGTTCGGATCTCCCTCCGAGCCTCCGATCCGCCCAGACAGCCCCCCTACCCACACTCCCTGTCTCCCCAGGTGACTGAAAGTGCTGAGGCACGGGGCACGAGGACTTGCTGAGTCGGCGCTTCCCCAGCCGGCCAGAGCCCTCAGCGGCCCCCGGAGCAGGTGCAGCCCGGGCCGGGGCCGCCTGCCCCCGCGTCCCCCCGCGGTCACGAGCTCCCCGCGCCTCCCCGCGGCCTCCGAGCCGGGTGCGCTCCCCCAGCCGGCGAGCCGGGGCGCGGGGGCGGGGCCGGGGCCCGGGGCCGAGCCCGCTGCCCCCTCCCCTCCCCGGCTCCCCGCCCCCACAGCGGCCCCACCCTCGCGCCCCGCGGGGGGCGCCCGCCTCCCTCCCCCGGTGGCCTCCGCCCGCCGGGCGGGCCGGGGTCCCTACCTTGCAGCAGGCGCCCGAGCCCGGGCAGCATCTTGTCTCGGCGCTCGGGGGAGGGGGCGGCGGGGGGAGGGCGCTCCCACTCGCTCCCTGGGCCCGCCGGACGGACGGCGGGGACCCCGCGGGGCTCCGGGGGGGCCCGGGAGTCCCCGGGCTGGGTGGCCCGGCCGCGGCGCTCTACCCTGCGCCCCCCGGGCTGCGGGCCTCGGGAGGAGCCATCGGCCCCGACGGGACGGGGCGGGGCGCGACGGGGCTCGGAGGACTGGAGCCGGCCGTCGACGCCGGGTGCCGGCACCCCCCGGCCGCGCAGGCGGCGCGCGAGTCCGTCAGTCCGTCGGTCCGTGCGTCCCGGCTGCTCGCCGAGGGAGAGTGGGGACAGCGAGGATGCTCTTCCCAACCACCCCCACTCCTTCCCGCACTCGCTGGCTCCTCCCTCGCTTCCTAGCTCGCCGACTTAACCCTCTCCTGGCCACCGGGAGGCGGGAGCGGCTCGCCGGCCCCCTCCGCCCCGGCCTCCTCCCCTCCTTGGGGAGCCCGGAGGACGGAGTTCGATCGCCTCCGCGGAGCCGCGCTTCGAGAGAAATCCTCTCCGGGGGAGGGGGGCGGTGCAGTGCAGCGAGAGGGCGCCGTGGACCTGGCCAGTTCTCCCTCCCAACTTCCCCGGAGGAGATGGGCTCCTGGGTCACCTCCCCCTCCTGCTGTGTCCCCGGCGCCAATGCCCAGGCCTCCGCCGCTTCCCTCCCCCGGGAGAGCTCCTAGATTGCACCTTCCCGTCCCTTCCCAGATCCCAAGCCCCCAGTGCGTGTGATTGTAAGA